AGACTCAAACAATGAACATGAATGAAATTTACTCAAGTAAATAATTAGGATTTATTAGATAACTAACACTGGTTGCATTTTGAGCGGTAAAGCGTTGTTTTACAATAATTTCGCTACATTAATTTATCTTTCGAGATTCAAGCTGCAGGAAATAGAGGGTCGTCAGAAATTTGCTTCACATGTAGGACATGCTTAAATTTTAAATGGACACAAGTAGCTTTGTGCCACAAAAACAGGATGTTAAATATTTGGTGTGTTAACTATGTATCCTCAATATGACAACTTTTGGGTACAAAATACCTAATTCAATTATGAGAAAAATAAGGTTTGTAACATCTTTCCTCCTCATTAATGTTGAGAAATAAATTTCCTCGTGTGTTGAGTGGTGTTAAAGTGATGCAATTCATATCCGCATTTCTAAGCTATTACTTCAGTCCTAGCGCAACCGTCACAGTGTGCTGTAACCATGCCGCATACGTCTCGATTAGCGTTAACTTTTGAACAATTCCAATCCCGCTGCATTCAATCCCAACCGCTTTCATGGCCCTTGCATACCGTGAGTGAAGCCTGACTGCACCTCTACCTCCTTCGGAAACACTTCTTTTCCCCCATTCATCCACAAACTGGACAGAAACTACGTTCAGTTTTGCTGCGAATGGGACGACCAACCATACAACGAGAAATAATATAACTGCACAGAACAGGAACATTAAATAAATGAAGATATCTACTTTTCCGTAGTATTTGACCACTCCCGCCATTGATACAATGGCTATCCCAGATCCAAGGATCGATGCAAGCGCCACGGTCCATCGACATATCTTGTTCATCCGATAGACCAAAATTGAGACTGCTCTGTAGCCCGCGCGAGAGCGGACGGGTTGCCCGGAACGATTGCCTTGACAAGCCGCGTTTACACAGTCTGTGCCCAGCGTGATGATTTCGAATAGATAGAGCACCACGGAAGTAAGGACATTATAGCAACCCTCGCTCATTTTCTATTTATAGATTTTATAGCGAATGCATGCAAATTTTATGCATGCATTTTTTGCATGCAAACATTTTTTGCATGGAGTTTTGCGATGCTGGGGGCTGACCCCCCCCAGGGGTTGCAGATAACCCCAGCGCAGTGACCGCGGCGCCGTGACCTTTGACCTGTCAAGCGTATTTATTATAATATGAGCGTTACATGGTGAGTATGTATGTCAAGATGAAAAAACCACACATTGATATTTAACTACAATGATGAAATGTGCATAATAATGGGTGTTAAGTTTCACAGTTTAATAGCTTAATTAAATGTACATGGCTTGCAAAAGCTGGCCAACTTCATTTGACATTCCAAGCGAATTACGCCCAGTTTTATTCTAAAGAAATTTACTTTAAGATATTTATTATTCCACATACAATGAATTGATTATTGCTTAGTTTTATTGATACACACAAAGTGACAATGAATTTGCTTATATTAATTTGTGTTGTGCTGCAGACCGTAAATTCGTATGCGGAATGTTATCGTCATGATAGTTGTGTGCAATGCATTCAAATTGTGGGTTGCGTTTACGGAGTAACAAGTTCAAGTGCTCGGAAATGTTTTCATCGTGACGAGATTCCGGTTGGAATTTTGGCAACCTTTCGAAATCCGACTGCATGTAAAAGAATTTACAGGTTTGGTACGTTCATTTTCATGTTTTCACTTTATACTGAGAACAAAGTGTTTCTTTACTGAATAAATAAGTTGTTTTTTTAATTTTTAGCAACCACCCAGACGAGTGCATTTGATAACCATTCTAAAAGTGGAAACACTATCATTGTTAAAGAAGAGATAATGCACAATGTTTTAACAGGTATGCACTGCCATTTTTCGCAATTTATTCCATTATTTTAACATTTTGACATTCTTAGAGCGGGTTTCAACCTCCACCACAACTGAAAATCAATTGTATACTTCAACATTACCTACTTTCACGACTTTGCCAACGACCAAAATAGTGACGACCAATTTTTATTTGCCGGAAACCTTACATCCCACACAACCAAGTGTTGATCACGAGCAAGACAATACAGAGACCACAACGGAGACAATAATAAACACTGCTGTCGCCGGTATTGTACACATTTTTTTTGTTACGTAATCTCGGTTTTTCATTCATAAATAAAACCATCACAGAAAAACTGGCAATCGAGACTACAATCCTACCAATGGTGGAATCAACTACGCATTTCTCTGAGCTAATTCATCGGCCCACTGATCCATTCCTGTTGCTGAATACGAGCATCACAATTGGGGGTATGCACACCATAGTTAAAAAAATAACACGTAAAGTTTATTAAAATTTTATTTATAGAAACCAATAATACTGCGAATTGGAATAATGGTTCCAACCATAGTGGAAGTTTCAACTCTTCCGTCCCGACAACTACCAATTTAACGATTTCGGTATTTATTAGTGTTTATATGCAACCAATCCCAATACCGTCTAAAGCCACGAGAACAAATTCGTATGCAATTCTTATTTTGTCACTTCTTAGACTTTTCCAGTTGTAGCAGCAAGAAAACGGAAAATGTGGAGCACCTATGACAAAATTGGATTATATGCATGCAGAATTACTAAATTACTTAAGAAGAATAATTTCTTTCATGATCGAGATCTTTCTACTATTAATAATATCATATCGAGGAAATTTGATTATGTATTATGTGATTCGTTACTCAGCGGAAAGCCAATATTTTATGCCAAAAACATTTAAATATATGCAACAAGTTAATTAAGCAAATGCATTTGCAGAGTGTTGGATTTAGAGGAAGTTCTAGCAATAAATAATTATGATAATTTTATTACAATAAATGCATGAAATTTTTTCGATTTATTTTTTTATTTGCTCATTTCCATCAAATCATTTGTTTTTATTTTCAATCATCAACTTAAAATGATTAGAAATCACTACTAAAATCACTACTAAATTCTACATGTATATATGAACTCTACAAATGACTCAATTCGATAAAATCACTACTAAATTACTACTTTTTTTTATTTTTCGTTCGTTTACTGGCGGGGGCGTTTGTGGGGGGGGATGCTTGGACTGCTGCTTGGACTGCGGCTTCCTGTGCCTCCTTTATTGCTTCAGACACAACTGACGAGGTCAGAGGCTGAACCGTCAGCATCTCATTCGGAGCTGAAGACAGTTGTTTTACACACGTTGTAAGGAAGAGAGTATCCTAAAAAAACAAGCATGCTTTGCAACAAAATCGTAATTATAAGAACGAAAAAAAATTGGAAACACTTACCTTTGATGCGTCATGTAGCCTATTAACCAGGCCCATAGCATTGAGATGTTGTAATTTTTTAAATATATTCAAATTTGTCCTAAATTTGAGTTTTAACAAGTCTAATTCCTTTGCCAATTTTGTTCTTTCTTCTTGAGTATTTTCCATTTGCTTTAATTTTTCCTCCAGACTTGAGATTTCTTCTTGGTCCTTTTTTCTCTCTTCGTCCAAGTATTGTAATTCTTCAGTGTGCTCTTCATCAATTGTTTCCATCTCGTCCTCAAGGTGGGCTGCTCTTCTGCATTCTGCTGCAAGAGCTTTCTCAAGAAATTCCACCTTTTTGTGGACCTCTATCCATCAGGAGTAATCTGCATTGGAGCGTCCAGACGGGTCGACGATAGAGTCGAGTTTGGATATTAATTCTTCAATGACGGACGTGAAATTCTTGATGTCTGCTTCGGCAGGCATCTGTAAAATTATTAAATAAATTATTGTTTCATATTATTTCATACTACTGATATATGTATTAGTAAAATTTCTCATGGGTAACATGTCTATTTCGCGAGTGCACGTGATAGCAAGAATTAAAATATTCGTGATTTCCTATAAACGGCGGAATATATATTCCAACATGTTTTGAGTTTTTTGGAGTAAAACTCGAAAAATTCACTGTTTTAACATAGGTCGGTATAGGGAAAATTCTCAAAATTTGTGAAGATAAATATCCATAAAAATCAACTTTTCACCATCTAGTTTTCTAAAAAAAAATACCGAAGAAATACTCTTATTTTTGAGAAATTCCTATGCCAGGATAATTTATGATGTACATACATATGTGTATTTTGTCCTTCATTGAAAATAATATGATACCCATATGGGTTTACAACGCCACCAGGTAGATAAAACTATTACACAAATATGTGCATTTCGTCCTCAACAAAAATAAAATACTACACACATGTATGTACTTCGTCCTTAAGAAGTTAATGTAATTAAAATTACAAGTAAATTAATATACACACGTACTGGATTTTAGGTAATACTTGGTAATGTTATAAATATAGTTATCTATTTGTTAGCAGTTAGTAGGAAACCGAAATTTAAATAAAAAAATTGTAAATGCTTTTTGGGCATGTATGTATCTGTTCCTTACTTTCATTGCATTGCTAAGTTGATAAAAGTCTCCACAAATATATTGTCATCGCCCAGTCGCAATTCAGATCACTTTCAATTTGATCAGAATAAGTTCATTGTGTTCAAATAACCCATCAAATCATGTGTCCTTTGGATATGGGAACAGAATCAGTTGAAGTGGTAAGCAAATTTCTGTGATATATATTATTATTTCCCCGAGTCGGAGCTTATGGAACCGTCGTGTCTGTCTGTTGGTCTGTTTAAATTTCAATACAAAGCTCATTGACGCTACAAATGGTTTCTCATGAAAGAATCCCATGTAAAATTGTAAAAATTCTACATCTGGCTCGGGCCATATCTGCAATGTTGGTTTTTAGTCATTAATGTTTAATCATAATTTCCATCCTGGAAAACAGATGGAAGCCGAACGTATCATCATCCCAGTAAATGATCTGGCGATAATGTTGACTAATACAACCGGTCAACATTCCCTCATAGTTTACAATAGGGAGTTACATCAGGTGCGACTAGAGAAGATTGAGGATGCACCACCCCCACCGCATCAGATTGAGATTATCATGCAGTCTCCGTTCCGTGGAGGCAACTGAAGGACAAGCGGTTAATTCTGATGTCCGGGATCCTAACCTTACGACATCTGAAAGGGTACGTGTGTATATTAATTTACATGTAATTTTAATTACATTAACTTCTTAAGGACGAAGTACATACATGTGTGTAGTATTTTATTTTTGTTGAGGACGAAATGCACATATTTGTGTAATAGTTTTATCTACCTGGTGGCGTTGTAAACCCATATGGGTATCATATTATTTTCAATGAAGGACAAAATACACATATGTATGTACATCATAAATTATCCTGGCATAGGAATTTCTCAAAAATAAGAGTATTTCTTCGGTATTTTTTTTTAGAAAACTAGATGGTGAAAAGTTGATTTTTATGGATATTTATCTTCACAAATTTTGAGAATTTTCCCTATACCGACCTATGTTAAAACAGTGAATTTTTCGAGTTTTACTCCAAAAAACTCAAAACATGTTGGAATATATATTCCGCCGTTTATAGGAAATCACGAATATTTTAATTCTTGCTATCACGTGCACTCGCGAAATAGACATGTTACCCATGAGAAATTTTACTAATACATATATCAGTAGTATGAAATAATATGAAACAATAATTTATTTAATAATTTTACAGATGCCTGCCGAAGCAGACATCAAGAATTTCACGTCCGTCATTGAAGAATTAATATCCAAACTCGACTCTATCGTCGACCCGTCTGGACGCTCCAATGCAGATTACTCCTGATGGATAGAGGTCCACAAAAAGGTGGAATTTCTTGAGAAAGCTCTTGCAGCAGAATGCAGAAGAGCAGCCCACCTTGAGGACGAGATGGAAACAATTGATGAAGAGCACACTGAAGAATTACAATACTTGGACGAAGAGAGAAAAAAGGACCAAGAAGAAATCTCAAGTCTGGAGGAAAAATTAAAGCAAATGGAAAATACTCAAGAAGAAAGAACAAAATTGGCAAAGGAATTAGACTTGTTAAAACTCAAATTTAGGACAAATTTGAATATATTTAAAAAATTACAACATCTCAATGCTATGGGCCTGGTTAATAGGCTACATGACGCATCAAAGGTAAGTGTTTCCAATTTTTTTTCGTTCTTATAATTACGATTTTGTTGCAAAGCATGCTTGTTTTTTTAGGATACTCTCTTCCTTACAACGTGTGTAAAACAACTGTCTTCAGCTCCGAATGAGATGCTGACGGTTCAGCCTCTGACCTCGTCAGTTGTGTCTGAAGCAATAAAGGAGGCACAGGAAGCCGCAGTCCAAGCAGCAGTCCAAGCATCCCCCCCCACAAACGCCCCCGCCAGTAAACGAACGAAAAATAAAAAAAAGTAGTAATTTAGTAGTGATTTTATCGAATTGAGTCATTTGTAGAGTTCATATATACATGTAGAATTTAGTAGTGATTTTAGTAGTGATTTCTAATCATTTTAAGTTGATGATTGAAAATAAAAACAAATGATTTGATGGAAATGAGCAAATAAAAAAATAAATCGAAAAAATTTCATGCATTTATTGTAATAAAATTATCATAATTATTTATTGCTAGAACTTCCTCTAAATCCAACACTCTGCAAATGCATTTGCTTAATTAACTTGTTGCATATATTTAAATGTTTTTGGCATAAAATATTGGCTTTCCGCTGAGTAACGAATCACATAATACATAATCAAATTTCCTCGATATGATATTATTAATAGTAGAAAGATCTCGATCATGAAAGAAATTATTCTTCTTAAGTAATTTAGTAATTCTGCATGCATATAATCCAATTTTGTCATAGGTGCTCCACATTTTCCGTTTTCTTGCTGCTACAACTGGAAAAGTCTAAGAAGTGACAAAATAAGAATTGCATACGAATTTGTTCTCGTGGCTTTAGACGGTATTGGGATTGGTTGCATATAAACACTAATAAATACCGAAATCGTTAAATTGGTAGTTGTCGGGACGGAAGAGTTGAAACTTCCACTATGGTTGGAACCATTATTCCAATTCGCAGTATTATTGGTTTCTATAAATAAAATTTTAATAAACTTTACGTGTTATTTTTTTAACTATGGTGTGCATACCCCCAATTGTGATGCTCGTATTCAGCAACAGGAATGGATCAGTGGGCCGATGAATTAGCTCAGAGAAATGCGTAGTTGATTCCACCATTGGTAGGATTGTAGTCTCGATTGCCAGTTTTTCTGTGATGGTTTTATTTATGAATGAAAAACCGAGATTACGTAACAAAAAAAATGTGTACAATACCGGCGACAGCAGTGTTTATTATTGTCTCCGTTGTGGTCTCTGTATTGTCTTGCTCGTGATCAACACTTGGTTGTGTGGGATGTAAGGTTTCCGGCAAATAAAAATTGGTCGTCACTATTTTGGTCGTTGGCAAAGTCGTGAAAGTAGGTAATGTTGAAGTATACAATTGATTTTCAGTTGTGGTGGAGGTTGAAACCCGCTCTAAGAATGTCAAAATGTTAAAATAATGGAATAAATTGCGAAAAATGGCAGTGCATACCTGTTAAAACATTGTGCATTATCTCTTCTTTAACAATGATAGTGTTTCCACTTTTAGAATGGTTATCAAATGCACTCGTCTGGGTGGTTGCTAAAAATTAAAAAAACAACTTATTTATTCAGTAAAGAAACACTTTGTTCTCAGTATAAAGTGAAAACATGAAAATGAACGTACCAAACCTGTAAATTCTTTTACATGCAGTCGGATTTCGAAAGGTTGCCAAAATTCCAACCGGAATCTCGTCACGATGAAAACATTTCCGAGCACTTGAACTTGTTACTCCGTAAACGCAACCCACAATTTGAATGCATTGCACACAACTATCATGACGATAACATTCCGCATACGAATTTACGGTCTGCAGCACAACACAAATTAATATAAGCAAATTCATTGTCACTTTGTGTGTATCAATAAAACTAAGCAATAATCAATTCATTGTATGTGGAATAATAAATATCTTAAAGTAAATTTCTTTAGAATAAAACTGGGCGTAATTCGCTTGGAATGTCAAATGAAGTTGGCCAGCTTTTGCAAGCCATGTACATTTAATTAAGCTATTAAACTGTGAAACTTAACACCCATTATTATGCACATTTCATCATTGTAGTTAAATATCAATGTGTGGTTTTTTCATCTTGACATACATACTCACCATGTAACGCTCATATTATAATAAATACGCTTGACAGGTCAAAGGTCACGGCGCCGCGGTCACTGCGCTGGGGTTATCTGCAACCCCTGGGGGGGGTCAGCCCCCAGCATCGCAAAACTCCATGCAAAAAATGTTTGCATGCAAAAAATGCATGCATAAAATTTGCATGCATTCGCTATAAAATCTATAAATAGAAAATGAGCGAGGGTTGCTATAATGTCCTTACTCACGGAGATAGCTCCGATGAGCATGTGATAGCCCGAAATGAAGATGAGTATGCAACGAGCCACTTTCCCTAAGCAGGTCACCTCCCAGCCAGATGCGGGAAATAGGGCTTGAATAAAATAATATCCACTGTCAAATCGTTGACCAAGGAATGGAGTCAAAGCCAGCATGGTCCACATGGCAGAAATAGCGTAGAAACCTGATTGCAATTGCAAGGTCCATAATGTGCTGCGCAGTCTGGACCATTCCTTCATGCCGGAAGAGATCATTGTTGTTCGACCTGGTAAAAAACTTTGTATACTCTCCATTCTCACACAGTAGAACTTTTACCGAAATTGAGATTTCTGAGAAACTACGGCACTGTCAATCTCAAATTCTCTGGAATTATGCTGACGGGGTACTTTGAGACTGGCAGTGCCGTAGTTTCTCAGAAATCTCAATTTCGGTAAAAGTTCTACCATGTGCGAATGGAGAGTAAGTACAGATAGATTATCTTGTTTAGAACAAATGAAATTCCATGGGATGCGTTGTGTTGGTGTCAAGGATTACATATTCTTTGTCCACATTTTTCAACCGATATAACAACTCAATACTTTTAACATACATTTTAAGTTAACACATAAATAAAAGAACTTAGGATCACACCAAAATTATAAGTTTACATACGTAATTTCTTCAACTCTCTAGAAATCCAGTTGAGCTGAAACCAGTCAAAATATAAGAGTTCGTCATACCAAATATTTGACAAGGCTTCGAAACCGATAGCGCATTGGACAAAAAGCGCCGAAAAATGTATGGCAAGTTTCCCATCCCAAACGAGTTTTAGAATGAGACAAAGTCCAAAAACGTAGGCCACGTTAAGCACCGAAATTATTAAGAACGGGATAAATTTTTCGTTTCGTTTTGATTTCACCGGGACACAGAAAATTGGAGGAAATTTGTATAGCACGGTAAGTTCTTGGAGAGTTCCTTCCACCCGTTTGCAAGCATTTTCCATTTCAAATTGTTCTCTAGGGATTTATTTAAATTTGAGGATTTAGGTGGAAAATATGTACTTTTTAGAAGTCTGGATTGGATGAGGAATTTAAATAGTTACTTCTAAATATCGTTTGGTGTTCTTACCGGCAAATTTTCAATGTCAATAATCTCATATGTAGGTAACCTTCGTCCGAGAACTGCGATAAAAAAACATTTGATCATGGAAATACCGATATCTGAATAATTTAATTTTCTAACTATACAATATTTGTTTTTAGAAGCTATTTATTTATTGAAATATGTATTGCTTTTACGGTTTAGCTTATTTATTTAGCTTGTGCAGTTGCATGTCTTTCGGAATTTATGCGATTGGTTTATTTGCTTGATTAAACCACTTTAATTGCTTTCAAAGCCATTGCAGAAGTTATTGCATGAGCAAACTTATGCATAAAAACCAATTCTATATAATAATAAAATCGTCATCTTTAAAAAATTAACCAACTTCATTTCAGTTAAATTGCAGTTGAAGTTTAACGTAGACTTAGGTGACTCATCGCCTGTGACGTCACAGGCCTAAAAATTAGCACATTTTTAATCATTTCTCGGCTCTGATATTTCATTCAAACGTATAAAGCGACACTTTTGTAGAGCAAGTCGTTACTAATTTATTAAAAATATACACTCCAGACTTTGCCACTTTTTGAAGGAGTGTTTGCAGTTTTTGTAAAAAAAGTGAAGACACATAAGACCTCCTGTTAAAGAGGATTCCATTTAAAAAAAACTGGCTTATCGTAATTAACAAAACTCAACGCCATCCTATTTATCAACTTACTTGCTACAGTTGTGTCGCTTTGATTGTCTATACTCGACTTAGCAAGGCCCTTTGGCTTGGTGGTACGAGGGTAGGATTGTCACCACGCAATCACACGTTCGATTCCACCAGCCGGGAAGCTATTGCTAATCCTACTTGGCTCTGTGTTAGTACGGGGTAGGTGCTGTCTCTCATGGCAGGGTGAGCCCAGCCATACGGAATGGCAATGCCATTGAGTCAGCCCCCGGCAGAGTTCCGTTCTCTGTTGGGATGAGACGACTTGCCACAGATTATTAGGCAAGAAGTCCACATCTAAGGCTGAAAAGCAGAGAACATCTGAGTCCTTTCGATGTAAAACGACAGCATTTTAGCATTTTTTTTTCTTAATTGCCCCAGAAAACAAATTTGAAATTAGAGTAACTATAACGTGGATAGGTATACGCGTATGTAGGTAATGTAAATCTAACACTAATGGACCATCCACCTACTGCGTATTATATTAGACTTTTATGAATTGAATAAAAACATAATAAAAATGATCTTAGGAGATTTAGATATACAATACATAGTGAATGGACGCCCCTTCCAAAACAAAACAAAACACAAAACATATGTTCTGGTGAACAAGAAATACCAGATAAAATGCTTTCGCGCTGTGTTTTTTGCCGTGAGATTTTTTGAGACGATGTGTCACCTAAGTCTACGTTAAATTGAACTTTGTCTTTGGCTAAATATAGGAGACTTTCTGGAATTTGCACTAATAAAACCCATGAATAATGAGACTTCGAAGTAATAAACTTGATTCTGTCTTAACTGCACACATTCATACATATGTAATAAGTATTGATCAGGCCAACTACATGGGGTTCCTTTTAGTAAATATGTATGTAGCTGGTAAAAAATGACGTTGATGGCTTTAATTTTAATTACTGATTTTACCCTAACCCCAGGTTTAAGTACATACCAAGCTATTGAACTAAAGCCATTTAGTAAAGCCATTTGTTGTGAAGTACACGACGTCAGACGTGTAGTGAGTCACTTTATTGAAGATCATCCACATTTCATTATCTCTCCACGACCAACTGTATAACCATTCAGCATGACGGTTGAGTAGCATGATTCACTTATTTATGATTATCAACGTTCCTGAGATTAATTTTATTTGGCAATGTCAAGATTAGGGAGCGTCCATAAATCACGTGATCGATTTTTGGCCAATTTTGACCCCCTCCCCCCCCTAGGTGACCGGTGGTGATAATTTCGCTACCCCCCCCCCCCACCGGTCACGTGACAGGAGATGCTCAAATTAAATCATGTTGTCCGGAACAACAATATTTTTTAAATCATTGATCAAATTCGAGCTACACTACACACATGTGTAAATACCTATTTAATACGCCAGTCAGACATAAGTATTTAAGTCGAAGCAAGTTTCTAAATATGCAAAATGAAAATCAAATTTATATAACGTGCGTGTGGTATGCCAAGAGAGTTTATACATAACTCTCTCATGACATTTATTGGCATATACAAAAGTTTAAAAAACTTTTGTATATACTACTCATGTCACGTGACATCTGACCATCTACCCCCCCCCCCCCCCGTGATAATTGGTGACAAATTTCAGACCCCCTCCCCCCCTCTAATCGATCACGTGATTTATGGACGTTCCCATAGCAAGATTAAAAATAGCGGGGTGCGAATATGTATCTAATACGTTAAGTAAGTATGAAATGCAAACGTGTCTACAATATATGCATGTATGTATGTATAACGAATATACATATGCATGCACGTAGATATTCAAATTGTGAGGTAGCATTGTTCGTCAGCTTGATACAGTGTGGTTCAAAACGATTTTTAAGGTTGAGCTTGGATATTTTATCAACCGGAAAATTCAGATTCGGTTAGAATGGATATTCTTTCGCCCTAATATTCGGATCGGGTTGGGATGGATTAGAAAAAGTTTAAAACCGACTAAGGATAAGCTAGGAAATATACCCGGAATGTTTTTGATAAACAATCCTTAATGGAGAAATACGAGCAAGACTAAACTTTTCCCATGTTTGAATTTCTGAAAAATATGCTTCACCCATTTTTCCAAATTTTGACTAACAGTCCTTGCATGACGAACAAAAATTTAAACATTCACATCGAAAACCGAATTTTATACGAAATTTTGGTGCAGATACGTCGCAATAAATTAGCTGTATTTAATATACAAAAATGGGATAATATTTGATGCAAATATATTGATAGGTTTCATTATTTCTTCGTATCGTAAAATATGTAGGTTACGACGGTCTTTTGTAGGTGTTTGTAAGATTTTGTAAGCGTCGTAAAATTTTCTCATCGAAAATCGCTCTTACGATTTTTACCAAACCTGGCCCTTTGTTTTCTTCGTAAAGTATTTCTTCGTAAAGTACACTTACGAGGATACACAGAAATATTGAATACCCTCATTAGCTACAAATAGAGAACATTTCATTAAATGCATTTGAGACAGAGTGTAATATTTATATTCTAAATACGCGTGCAAAAACTTTTAGATCAAGTGTTCAATGGACGTTGGCTGATTTGATACCAATTTGCCTCGGTAAAACTGACCATCCTCCCACATCACAAAACTGCCACATGAACCTAAATAACCTTTCACTCTCGTCCCTGGAACGGACGTGAAAACTGTTGAAGCAGGGAACCTTTGGCTGGCGAATTTCACAATATTTCCCGCAATTCGTTCCGGAAGACGCCCCAAACAGTTGAGAAGGTAATGAGTTGGAACGGCTGGCCAGGATGGGGTGGCAACAATTAACTTGATCACCTTATGGTCCGCGACGTCTCCTAACGGAATACTAAAGTGGTTTGGAACCACCGCATTCCTGGGCCGACTGTCGGGATATGGCAGAATGGCGGTGGGGGTTGAGAATGTCAGAGAAGAATTATCCAATAAGTCTCCTCTTCTGGATAGGATCTTGAAGTAAAAGTAGATAACTCAATTATGCATAGCAAAGATGTACAGGGTGGTTTAAATGTCACGCTACAATGGAAAATTCTTCAATGAAAAAAAAACTCCATTAGTTACAAGATCTTGGATTTAGATTTTTATAATTATTACCAAAAACTGATGGAACACTGATGACTAAATTCTTAAAATGTTGAACTTTAGAGACAATATTTCTGTAACTAATAGAATTTTCCAATTTTTCTCATCGAAAAATTTTCCATTGTAGCGTGACATTTTAACCACCCTGTATATCAGAATATCTGTAATTACTAATTAAAATTATCACCATCCGTACCTGCCCTAATGCAGAAACAACTATGCTGCCCAAGACATTTGTAGTTGTATTATTCCGATGATTTTCAGTGCTCTCCAAATTTGATCTCAAATC